AAAAGGGTAGGAAATGCCAGAATTAAAACTGCCTGTTTACCATAATGCTATTTCCTTGGCATTATGATACAGACTTTAATTAAATCATTACATACATTGTTTTTCCACAGGACTCCTGCTTCATTCACTGTATAGGATGGAGAGTCTCTTTTAGACTTGTCCACACTTAAGTGCTACAGAAGCAGCTGCATGGCTGTAGTATTTCAGGGCATATAATACGGGGTTTTACTGTCACAGCTGTTAATCCATATGCCCAAGAGAAAGTAGTACAATCCATACTGAAGGTTAAGTCTGAATAGCTATGTCTCTCTGGGGCACAGACTTTTCTCATCCTTGACAGACACAGCTATGTCAGTGTAAGTTTCCAGTATAGAACAGCTATTTGATGGTTTATTTTCTCCTTGTTGGCCCCATGTTTTATTTGTTGTAATAACTATTCCAACCCTGCTCTCAATGCAAAACACAAGAATGGACAATGGTCCATGTAGCACAGTATCCTGTCTTCCAATAGTGGACAATGCTATGTACTATCCTGTTGATTTAGTTAACTGTTTATACATTATGTTTAACTGGTTAATCAATTAAAGGTAGGGTTGGATGGGGTGCTGCTCCAGTCACAACTGGTTAACCTTTCACATCCCTAGTCAATGCAAGGTGCTTCAAAGGGAATTAACAGAATAGGGCAATTATCAATTGATCCATCTACTTGCAGCATCTGGCAGTTAGAGGCTCAGAGACACTCGGTACATGGGCTGCATCCCTGACCATCTTGGCAAATAGCCACTGATGCCCCTGTCTGACCAGGTATTGTGTGAAGAAGTACTTCCTTTTGTTTTAGACCGGCTGCCTACTGTTTTCATTGGGTGACCCCTGGTTCTTCTGTTATGTAAAGTGGTCAATAACACTTCCTTACTTACTTTATCTATGCCATTCATGATTTTATAGGCCTCTCTCATATCCTCCTTTCATGCAAAATAATCCTACTCTTTCAATCTCTACTTTGAGCTTCACAAATGTTATTGAATTTATGTTCATGACACCCTTGCGAGATAACAGAGTTGTATTATTCCTGTTTGAAGATGTGGAACAATTTCACAGAAAGATAAGGTCAAACTATCCAATAATTTTGGATGTCCAATTTGAGATGCCTAGAACTTTCTTTTTCAGAATTCATGACAATATATAGCTCTTTATATGTTTGAAGCCCAGCTCCTCACTAATTTCTGCTGCAGCAGTGAGTGCTCAGCTCTTCTGCATATGGGGCTTCAGGGTCTCAGGACCAGCACCCAAGAAATAAAGTACAGGTAGTCCCCGGGTTACATGGATCCGACTTACATCGGATCCCTACTTACAAACGGGGTGAAGCAACCCCGCACTAGCTGCTTCCCCCCAGCAGACCAGGGAGACGCGAAGCTAACGCCCCCGCCAGCAGACCAGGGAGACGCGGAGTGGCTTTTCTCAGCAGACACCTCAGCTTGAGAATAAAGGACTGAGGGAAGTGAGGTGTGGGAGAATAAAACTGAGCTCTGGAGAAATGTTTGGCTAGAGTTTCCCCTACAATATGTACCAGTTCCGACTTACATACAAATTCAACTTAAGAACAAACCTACAGTCCCTATCTTGTACGTAACCCAGGGACTGCCTGTACAAAATGGGAGGATAGCGGAGAAACTTCATGCAGCCATGCAGAAACCTACTGAAGTAGCGGTGATAAAAGTGAAGGCCCACGCAAAAGGGACAGGCCCTCATACCAAAGGGAACCGAAGGCAGATGAACTAGATAAACAAGAAGCAGTGGAAGATAAAGAGATGCAATTGATTGCTGCAACACAGCCTCTCATAACACCTGTGAAAAGTTTGATATAAATGACTTGACTACTACTGCATAATAACTCTGTGGCAGAGGAAGAAATATAATCTATTTTCCCAGAGCAACACTTAAATGCTTTAACCATGAGATAATTATTTCACTTATTGTAGTCCCCCTAGCTCAATCACTATACATGTTCCACCTTCTACAACATATGAAGCAGGAGTCAAACAGCCTCCTTCCCTTCCTTCCTGTATCATTTTCAGAGCAAGTCCATCCTGTGCACTTAGTAAAGCAGGAATCCTGTGGAAAACCGGTATGTGGTCATGTAATTAAAGTCGGTATGATAATGTGCATGCAGAAGGGCCAAATTAGGGTTTTGAGTGCTTTACTCTGAAGCCTCAATTTTCCTATAATATAGTTTATTGGGTCTAATTTCCAGTGTTTTCAAAAAAAGCAAACTGAAAAAAAACCCAAATTCCATCATGTGGCACAATATTGACACCCAGATGAGCCATCAAAAGGGTTTGTACCTTTGGAGTCAGTACACAGACCTCTACACTTCAGCTAAAGAAGTAACTGAAAGCAGTAGTAGGCTATGTGGATCAGCACGAGTGGAAGTGGGATGAGGAAGCTGCACTTTTACATGCCTCATAGCCTGATAATTAGGGTACATCTCTTGAGATTGCTCATGAGAAACCTTCAGTAGCTGCCACATACTAATTGCGTAATTATAGTCTTCACTCTTACAGTTCCTAACTATTTTTCAAGTTCTTTGCTTTGGAACTGTTGTCTGATCTTTTGAAGGCTAAGGTCTTCTCTCTGCCTAAGGTAGCTGCATTTTAGGAGGAGATGAAGTAATTTGAAGATATGTCATTTTCTACTTAGTTTTAGAATATTTTTTAGAATCTACAGTCGCAACACTATACCAGTAATAATTCTTCTGATCTTTCATGAGCTTCTAGCTCTTACTAACCAGAAACAGGTGTTTCTTGCAGAAAAGGTGTCCTAGTGCATGTCTACACTAGGAAATTATTTTTAAATAATTACATTTGACTTAACTCCTGATTTTACAAAATTGAAATAGTGTGTCCACATTACGGGGAAGCCTTAAAATTAGTCCAAGGCAGGCTCCATTAATGGGGATGTGCTACCATGACTTAGAGCCCAGGAAGCACTGGGGGAGTAATTAGTTCAAATTACTCTGACAAGAAGTTATTTTGAAATAGCAGCACCAGAGCGTCCATACTAATGCTATTTCGAAATAACTACCTATTGGAAATTGGTGTTATTCCCCAAGGAAAGCAGAAGTACAGCCTGCTATTTCAAAATCACAGAATCATAGAGCTGGAAGAGACCTCAGGAGGACATCAAGTCCAGCCCTCTGCCCAAGGCAGGACCAATCCCAACTAATAATGGGCTTGGTAGTTTGCACTCTTCGCTTATAAATGTGACCTAAGGGGTTATTTCAAAATAATGCTCTAGTGCTGACCAGGGCTTTCTGTGTGATTGTCTTCTTACCCCACAGCATTTGTGTCCCAACGTGAAAGAAACAAACAAAAGGATGTGTTTGTAGAATATCCAGAAAAGAAGTTTACTATATAGTTAAATTTATCATCACCTTCTACTAAAAGTAATATTAAATGCTGTTTCATAAGCTCATAGGACTGGGATGGACCTTGAGAATCCCCTGCATTCATGACAGGATTAAGCATCATCTAGAGTCTAGATTCTAGACCATGCCTGACCGGCTCTTCAAAATCTCCAATGATGAATATTCCACAACCTTCCTTGGCAATTTACTCCTGTGCTTAAGCACCCTCACGGTTAGGAATCTGATGCAATTTAAGCCCAGTTTCTTGTCCTATCCTCAGAGGTTAAGAACAATAATTTTTCTTCCTTCTCCTTATAACAATCTTTTATGTATTTGAAAATGGTTCTCATGCCACCTCTCAGTCTTCTCTTTTCCAGACAAAAGAAACCTGATTTTTTCAATCTTGCCTCAAAGAGCAGGCTTTCCAGACCTTAAAATCATTTTTGTTGCTCTTTGGACTTTCTACAATTTGTTCACATTTTTCTTGAAACATGGGGCCCAGAACTAGACACAATACTCCAACCGAGGTCTAATTTGCACTCAGTAGAGCAGAAGAATTGCTTCTTGGCAATGTGTACACTGACAGCTTCTTGTGCAAGAACAGCCATTCTTGCGCAAAAACTTGCTTGCTGTCTATACCGCACGAGCGTTCTTGTGCAAGTAAATTTACAGAACAGCACTGTAAAACAGGGTTTCGTTCGGAAGAGTTATTCCACTCCCCAAGAGGAATAAGCCCCCTTGAGCAAGAGCTCTTCCACAAGAAGGCAATGTAGACAGGCAACATGAATTTCTTGTGCAAGAAGCCCCTATGGTTAAAATGGCCATCAGAGCTCTCTTGCGCAAGAGAGCGTCTACACTGCCATGGATGCTCTTGCACAAAAGCATGTGGCAGTGTGGATGCGTTCTTGAGGAAGATTTTTTGCACAAGAACTCTTCCACAAAAGAGTTCTTGCGCAAGAAGCGGCCAGTGTAGACCTAGCCCTTGTGTCTTGCTTATAACATTCCTGCCAATAATCCCAGAATGACATTTGCTTTTTGTGGGTATAATTTTAAATGAAGTTAAAATCTTTAGTACTAACAACTCTGGTTTAGACTGTATTTTTGTTTTAGGCTCTATAATACGAAGTAATGAGTTATTACATGATTTATATACATTATATATACATCATTTACTTCATGATCTCAGATTTTTAGGTTACTCAAAAAGGCAGAAGTTCAGTCACAGAAATATGTTAACACAAAAATATCACCCTTTGTCTTTTAGTAAGAATTTTGTAAGGTTGGAAAGTTGCATTTGTGGTTAGCTCACACCAATTAATTGATAGCAGGCAAGACACACAGATCTGCATATTTCAGTACAAGCTCCTCCAGGCATTAGCAGGGAAAAGGGGAGAGGGCACTAAAAGCATAATGAAATAAATGGACAGCATAGTCAATTTACTGCCCTCAGTTGGGAGTATCCATAACGGTTTAGGCAGTAAGGCATTTTTAAAGCTTGTAAAAGTTTTGCTCTTTTTCAACTCTAAGTAGCTGCACATGCTGAGATACAGAAGCACAGGCAGCAAAGGTGCAGGAAGGGCAGCTCTCAGTTACTTACGTTGACAGCCTAAGCTGTGCCAGATATATCCCAGCAGACACTTATCACATTTAGTCCCTGATGTTCCCTCCTTACACTCACAGAATCCTGTGCCATTACAGCGATCACGGACAGAGCCAAAAGGGTTACAATTACAGTCTGCAGAAACAAGACAACATACATACACTGGCCATAATTCAAAAAATACCAATAAAGGAAGCAATTCTAGCATTTAAATGTAAGGGGAAGACTGTCTATTAATGACATTTGCAGGGGAAAGAATAGTGACTGAAGGTCCACTTTTTTTATTTGTTTGTTTTTTTTAAGAGCAGACCGTTGATTATGTAAGGGGGAAAATAAACAAAAAAAAGATGTAGAGGAAAAAGGTCACTGGTCATAATGGAGATTCCATTTTAGTCAGGAAGTTTTGGATTGTTTAAAGAAAGCAAGGAAAGTTTTGTGCAACACACAAATCAATATGCCATCAGGATAAAATTTGTTTTAAATTATTAAAATAGTTGTAGCTGTATCACTCAATACTTTGAGTTCTGCTGAATATTTTTTAAGTGTTATATAAATGCACTTTTCTTATTTCCAAGATAGTCTTCCCTTTCTATTTAGCAGTAGTATATTAATTTATGTAGGTACTTGCCATTGTAGTGACAATGCACTTTTCATATTCCAAAACAACCTTGAGATGGGGAGCAAAATGCTACAAAACTTGTTCAGTACTGACTTCAAACTGTCATTTTCATTATACCTCTGAGATGGATGTGAGGATGGAAGACCTAGTGATGGACTCCCAACATCTAAGCATAGATTATTCTCACGTGCCTAAACCTGACTAAAAACTGTAGAAAATGGTAGTTTGGGTTGACCCTTTTGTCTTTCACAACCTTTAGTCTAGGGAAATGTGTCTTCCCCTTTGGACACCAATTCCCTACTTCAGCACCATCACAAAGTCAGAGCTCAACTGTGGCTCCCAGAGCAAATGAGCCCTTCAGAGAAGGAAAACAGTTGACAGCAATTTGAGTTTTCTGGCACTGCTATGGATCATGTATCTTTTTCTCTAAGCCTATAGGGCAAATTCTGATCTCTTTTACACCATCATAAATCCACAGTAACTCCACTGTTGCAACTGAGACCACAGCCTACCTCTAACCAAAAAATTTGCCCATGTGCCTGATCTTGTGCTGCTGTCAAAGGCAAGAGATACAAATCCACTGTTGAATCCAGAAAACTTTCTGGCTGCATTATTTTTTTCTTTAAATCAAGCAACCCTTGCTGACTACTGCTATTGTTTAGTACAATTACATTAAATTGTAGCAATATTACATATAAAAAAGAGGAAAAATATTAAAATATTGAAAATGCAATAGAAAATGTTTATGGAGCAACAAACATTACCAATAACAAATATGTCACCTGTTGCCTGACTGCTTATTCATTGTAAATAACAGAGGACATTTCAAACATTTGGCATGCTGGAGAAGAACAGTAACCTCTGGCAAACACCGTTCCACAATAATAATTTAGTCAATTAGCTAAGAACGTTAATTAATGAAGTTGAATACTGACAGACCCCAAAAACACTGTGGAACATTGAGCACAGTTATGCCTCAGTGGGTATCATATAAAAAAACTGGCACTTCGAATATTAATCAGACATTCAAAATCTTTATAGTAAATGGACATACAGTTGAGGTACTAAATGCAGACAGGAAAATTTATTTAAAGAAGTGCAAGTCAAAAGCTAACAGCATTGGATGTTATAAGAACAGGGCTTGATTCTCCTCCCACTAAAGTGAAAGTAACTCAACTGAACACACTGGAATTACACGGGTGTAAAATGGGTACACTGGTGTAAAGTGCGAGAAGCATCAAGTGTGGAATAGACTGTATATATTGCCCCACAAAATGGAAGCCTGATCTAAGATTAACAAAAAACCTCCCATTGTCTTGAATCACATCAACAGGCAAAGAGCATCAGGCATATATTTTGAAATTAAAATGGACAATATATATTGGATTTAAAAAGCTGTTATGACAAACCTCTTTATAAAAGTGCTGGCAAGCAGCTTTAGAAAAGTAGTAAGGTAAGTTAAAGGAGCATTAACAGAAAAAAAAAGACAATAATTAAAATGTAGCTCAACAAATTATTACCCCAATCCTGTAAATACTTAAGACATGTGGTTAACTATGTGTGTTTGCCTAGTCTCCTGGAGGTTGTTAGATCATTCCCAGGTGCAAAGTTAGCATCTGCCTAATGTCTGCAGGATTGGCATCTATTTGGTTAAAAAATCATTTGGCAAAATTTGGTAAAAAAGGTTTAAAATAATTTTAATCTCTTTTTACGAGGCAAAATAAATGAATATATTATACTTGTTGTCTCATCTATAACTTCTTGGGTTCTGGACATCCAACACTCTGTACATCTGAAGAAGTGGGCTGTGATCACAAAAGCTCATGATACCACCATCTACATATTTTGTTAGTCTTTAAAGTGCTACCAGACTATTTGTTGTTTTTAAAGTTTTTCCTGTATTTAAGTAAATACCGTTATTGCTCCTTCAGTGATCATGTAGCACCTTAGAGATAAATGAGTCTCTAGGCCCTGGTCTACACTCCCCTTATTTCGAAATAACAAGCGGAGTGTCCACACTACAAAGCTCATTATTTCAAAATAATAACTCCTGCTTTCCATGAGAAATAATGCTCGTTTCAAAATAATTATTTTGAAATAGCGGTAGTGTTGACTCTCCACTGCTTCTATTTTAAAATAACTACTCCCTGGAGTCATTCAAAGTAATTACTCCACAGTGCTTCCTGAGGCTCTAAGTCAAGGCAGTGTGTCCACATAAGGGAGCTTGCCTCGGACTCCCTTCCCCGTACTGTGGGCACACTATTTCAAAATAGTTATATCGGGAGTCAGTATTTCAAAATAAGCTATTTCAAAATAAGTTTCTATTGCAGATGTGCCCTAACATGCTACAGGACCACTGATTGTTTTTTAAGTTTTTTTTAAGTTACAGACGAACACAGCTACCCCTCTGTTCCTTCAGTGTAAGAGCTTATTAAAGTACATGTTCAATATACTCTTGAGCTCACAGCTAAAAACATTTTCAGTATGTTAGTTATTTGTATCTCTGCCATTTCAGAAAGTAATACATTTTATGTTTCCTCCATTTGGTCTAATCTTGACTAATATATACCATGTTCTGCCAGTTTTTTATCCATATAGTTACCATGTATATGTTTGTATTTGGTTTGAATAATGTCAATAAATAATAAATATTTCCCTTGATAAAACTAGTTTAACCAAATATTTTTAGGTTTCCTAAAAACTCTGTCTGAAAATGGGAAAAACAACTGCACTGGAAAATTAAGATAGTCATACGTAAATATCAATGCAAATCTCTTTATTAGCTTGTCCACTGATCTATTAAATGTGTAATTAAAACCCACAATACTGAGTAGCTGTCATGCTCTGTGTAATCAAATGAGCATTTCCAACAGACTGCAGTGCAGGTGTGAGTCTTGGAATCGTTGAGTACCTTCAATTGTCACTGAACTCAAGGGGAGTTGAGACTGTACAGTGGCTTGCAGGATGAAGGCTCTACAGCCCCAAGTCATGAAAGCACTTAAGCAAATTCTTATCTCCAATCCTTTTCAGGAACGTATTTGTGTGTGTGTGCTCTAGGGCTTATCTTCACCTACCATGGTAGAGTGGCATAACAGCACTTGTGCAGCTGTAGCACTTTAATGAAGATGCTTCTACACTAGTCAGAGAGCTTCCCTTGTTGGCCTACTTAATCCAACTCCCTAAGAGGGGGTAGCTATGTCTGTATGGGGAGGTTAGGTCTGTATTACACACTTCTAAGTGACATGGTTACACTGGTATAGGTCTGTAGCGTAGACCTGGCCTTAGCCCCACTGATTTTAAGGAAGATTTCCTATGACACAGCATTAGTCAGGGTATGCAGAGTTTGTATGCACTATGATAAATGGCAAACCTGAGGAAGAGTTTTATATTTGGATATTTTTTCATTTAAAATCCATTGTCATATAGGTACTATTTTGCCCTTTGTAGGGCTTCATCTTGCAGTCATCTTGACTGGTCAAATGCTCAGAGGAGCCCATGAGAATTGTGCTTTCATTAGGGTGTGAATGTCAGGAAAATGCTCTGTATACTTTTATTTTCTGAAGAATCTTCCTATTAAATTTTATTTCTACTGAGTCTGAGAAATGCTGAGTCTGCTCAGTTGTTCATTATCTAAACTAATTCTGAATGTACTGTTTGAAAATCATTTTTAAAAGTTATTTGTGGTGCTATTAACCATCTCCTTCCTGCCTACATGGCAATCACTATTGATGTCTTTCGCTAGCATTTCAATGTATGTTAGGTGACAATATAGTGTAGCTATGAAAAAAATTGGATATCTTTCCATATTTCTTAGCTTCTTTAGCCAGTTTAAAGTACACAATTCTGTTAGAAAGACAATGTCTCTTGTCCACAGCAAATAATTACTCAGAACAGATAGTTCTATTTAACTCTACTATATGTGTCATTTGTTTATTTTATTTAACAGGATGTGAGATCCTGATTGTCTAGTTGTCATGCTGAAGTTCATAGTAGCTCAGCTTAATTAATTTCAAAGGGAATAATGCATTTGATTTCACACAGAATTAACTAGTGTTAAAAAGGACACATGAAATACAGCGTGTGCATGTGTCTTGTTGTTCATTACCTAAAAAATAGCATTGATAGGTTGCAGATTGGAACAAATGAATATTACATTTTCAGTTCTTTATTAACTCTTTGGTTACTCTCTGATTTAATGACAGTAAATATCCTGCCTTTGTAGATGGAGTGAATGGATATAGCTGAAATCCATGACTGACAGTAATCAAAATCATATTTAATTGTAATATATACCTAATATGTATCATATTTATAATATTGTAAAACAAACTCTCTCTCTGCTTATAATTTGAACATTTGTTAACTAATGACCATGGAGTGAGCCTATACTCTCAATAGTTAAATTTGTTAAATAGTTAAATAAGTTAAATTTTCATATACATGGTCCAATCTCTTTCTCACTAACCAGTATTTGTAATAATGTAAGGATGCTGGAGATTGCTCTAGTGTAACAAGTATCTTATATTCTCTTGTGGAAGTCATTCTTGTTAATGATATTTGTGTTCTGGCATCCATCTGGTGCTAGCTGTTTGAAGGTTGTCATGAGCTCAGAGTTATCTATGTTTGGAGCATCCTGATCCTGAGGAGGTAGATTCAAAATTGGTATCATGATACAGCTCATGGACATTTTTATGTAAGATTGGCATCTCTTTTTTTGTAGGATTTAACATACATGAAAAAAATTATGCTCTCAGCTTCAGAGCCATACATTAAAAGTGAAAGGTGTTAACTCTGACTTTATACCCCTTGCATCTGAGATGAGAACTGGGCACAACATGTTTATTTTTGAAATCTGGATTCATAAAACTATTGCTACAAATATAGGCACTGCTCTTGACATCAGATTCACTCCTATGGGGGGGCTGGAGGGGGGGGGGTTCTCCCTGCCAGTGCAAGCACAGGCCCAAATGCAAGATCAGATACTATTCCTAGAGGCTCAGTCCTTACATTTTGCAACTCCAGTGTGGCTTCTTCTGCATGGAATCACAGCATGATCTTAGCGCTCCCATGCAGAGTTTCCAAAAATCTTTAACAATGATTTTTGCTGCTTTATATTATTTTTATAGACATTCAAAATACAGACCAAGTACCACAGTTAAAGCTGGGGCAATGCATTCATCATCTACACAGGAGATGCTTTTTTCCACTGAAAAAGATCATTCTGGTTCAGCTGGCACATATACAGCAATAGTGCAAATTGCTAGCTAGCGAGCTAACTAACTAGCAGCTCCCAACAGCTGAAAAGGCAAAGAACAAAAGCTGGAATTATAATGAAACTGACCTATGCATACATTTTCATCGTCCAGCTCTGCAGAAGCATTTCTGAAGTAGCCCAGCCTGCATAATTCACAGTGCTGCCCTCTAGTGTTGTGTTTACAGCTCACGCAAATGACTGTATTTAGCAGCTCGATGTAACTGCACCGGTTGGAGTGGCCGAAGCATTCACAGTCTTGCAAGGAAGAACAGAAATGTATACAAAATGTATACAGTAGCAGAGTAATAGCACATTACATGCTTGGTTAAACTATGCATAGAAGATGAATGGTAGCACATACATGTTAGTCAATGTAACATGGACAACAATGGATGTTTGACTGGCATGAACATGACATCTGTTTCAGGCAGCTTAAAATGATCAGACATTCATGACTTTGAAGATTGCTTCTCCTTAGAAGATCTGATGGAAATGAAGCATTTGCAGTTGTAAACCTTTCAAGCGTTTTGTAGGCTCAGATTACAAATGCATATATTTTGCACATTTGAGATGGATATAATCAAAGCACGTGCAAAACATTTTTTTATACTTATAAAATTACAAACTGTTAAAATACATAAAATAAAACTGTCAAACTTGGGGGCCCAAAGTCAGGCATTGAAATCCACAGTTAAGCACCAAAATAAACCAGCCTGATTCTTAGAGATATTGAATAAGTATAACTCGTGCTGAAATAAATAAAAGTTGTGGATGTTGAATACTTATGAAAATCAGACTATTTCACTGAGGTGCCTAATGCAGCTAAATTTGACAAAATGTGACCAGAATTCCTAAAACAGGAACAGACATGAGTGCCATTTATATGCCAGTTAAACTACCATCTTGAGTCAATACCCAACCTATCTTTATACCAATAACAAAGCTTTCAGCATATGGAAAATTCATCTGTTTATGTAAAATAGGAAGAATAACCACATCTCTCTAAAGTATAGCACCCACTACAGCAACTATAATTGTATCAAAAAATATAATGGGCATTGGAATTCTCTTTTTATTTATAAAACCAACTTTTGCTTTGGGCACAAAAATTATCCTAAACTTCTGTTAGCAATTTTGGTATTGTTGTAACTAAGCATGACTGGCCACATAAGGCTAAGCTGTCTGGTGCTCATCCTGGACTTTTTTTAATGACCTGCTAGCATCACAAACCAAAACGCAGAAGCAGTCCTGTACCCTTCTCTTTCAGGTCTGATAGACTCGGTGGTCTGCTCTTGTGACATCTGAAGTTAGGATACCAAATACACTGAGCCTATAGTCATGCCAGCTGGCAACATACTGAAGTCATATTGTAGGTGGATTTGGAAGAAATAATTTATCCTGCTTTGCCAGCTTCCAACCAGTTGTATAATATCCGATCATTAGTGATAAAAGGATGTTTATCATAAAAGGGAGAGAGGGAATCAGACTGTATGATTTGAAGCTACAGAATTTGCTATGAATGACTGCAAAATCACTCCCATGACATTATGATGTAACTCTTCAGTCCAATAATATATCATAAACACTTACAAAGCTAGGAAAAACAAACCTGCATAAATAATCATTAAATTGTTGTAACAGAACTTGGTCTAACCTATGGCTGGGATTAAAGAAGCATATTCTGTGGTAATGGGTGACTCAGTTCTATTTCCCTCTCTCTCAGACTCTAAGGGCACATCTAGATAGCAGGGCTAAAGCCAAAATAAACTATACAACTTGAACTAAGTCAATTGCGTAGCTTAAGTCAAAATAGCTTAATTCGGCTTTGGCGCTAGCTACACAGCAGGAAGTCGAAGGAAGAACACTCTTCCTCCGACTTCCTTTACTCCTTGTGAAATATGGGTTACCATGAGTTGGAGTAAGAAGTCCTCCAACTTGATGTTATTTCAACAGTATGTTGAAATAACTGCTTGCTGTGTAGAGGTGGACTATTCTATTTGAGAATAACATGGCTGTGTAGAACAGACAGACATATCGTAGTAGATGACTCCATGCACTTGTTTTCATCAGAATTAAAGAAAAAATGAAACCATATCTTGTGCTTAACCACACTAACCCGGACACTGATACTTCTATTACATAAGAGGAAATAGCTTTATGAGTTAAGGCTTCTGCTGTCAGTCTAGTCTACCACCTCTCCAGGAGGTGCAATACCCACACCAATGGGAGAAGGTCTCCTGTTAGTATAGGTAGCATCTTCACTAAGTGTTCCAGAACTGTGTGTGTTCACACACCCTGATAAATTACTATATTAAAATTAGGTGAAAATTTGGTAACCTAGATAAAGTGTTACTTGATTCAAGTCAACCTCAGAGACAGTCTAGTGTCTGATTTAGAATTCACTGTTGTGAAAAATGAATGTAACAATCAGGCCTGATAATGGGAGTGTGCAAAGGGAGCAGCTGCCCTAGGGTCCAGTGATTCAAAGGGACCTGGGGCTCCACTGGAGCCCTGGGCCTTTTAAATCACCACCTGAGCACTGTACCGTGCACTCCACGCAGTTCTGAAGGCTGGGGGACGTGGGATGCACCACCAGGGAGTACAGAGCCACCCTCCCTACCTGTCCAGGGGACTGCGGAGGCTGTCGGCTCCCCTGGTAATGACCACTCCTCCTTTATCATTAAATAAATTAATACCCGTTCACATAGTTATGGCGCCCTAAAATGGGCTCACATAGTGAAAATGGTGTAAAGGAGTCTTCATGTAAATAAAAATCCGGTAACATTAACTGTTATCACGGCCCAGTAGAACACAGTACCTATAATCGCATGCTACATCATACCAGAGGATAAATAGGGTTTGCAGAATTAAATTTTTGTTTTTTGATATTTTTGGTGGATAACTTCAATGTTTATTTTAAACAATTTCTCATTTTTTTATCCATTTAAATTATCACAGGAAAATATGGTGATGAGTATCAGACAATGGGAGGGTCTAATATTTATTTAATGATAATAGACATTGAGATTCAAAAAGTTGAAACTTTATAGTTAAAACACAAATTTTCAAAATCACAGATCAAAATAAATACAGTAAGTATCATTACATCAAACGTCATTAATTTCTTAAGCAACATTTTTCTTTGGTCATCTGTACATTTACATTATCATCAATGGATTTTTTTGTCGCTGTTTGTATGGTGACACTGAAGTTTACTGAGATTTGCCAATAAAATCTAATCTGTCCAAGCATAAAGATAATGTACATTTGCACTGTGGTGGCTCTCTCACCTTTCAGGAGTAGGATCAATTGAGTCACCCTCACCCTCACAGAGAAATCTGTCATCCTCTGATCAGTACAGGCTGAAATAGAACTTTAGTTTTTGGCAACCAAGGCAGAATTCTGTCAGAGGCAAAGCCATTCAATCACTGATAGGGAGGAGAAACGGTGGCAAAAGCTAGGGTACTGAAGTACTAACAAAAAAAATATGAGAAGTGCTTACAATATTGCCATATGCTGCTTTCAATTTTGAGCACCACATTTTAGAAAAGAGAGAGACTTGGGAAAGTTTAAAGATGATTAACAATAAATGTTGAATGGCTTAGAAAATAAAACCTCAGAGGGAAGGTTAAGAAAGGTGGGTATATTTAATGTAAAGGAAAGGAGCACGGAGATAGTCAAGAACAGATTTGATAGCCATCTCCCTGGATGAAGCAGGAAATGTCAAATTCCTTATCAAGATGCAAAGGGATGAATGAGATGACCCTTTAAGAAGATCTTTTCTATAAAAACAATCCCATCATTATTGTAAAATCAAGATACAACTGAACTTTAAAGGAGATGCATAAAATAATAACAAGCATCACTCACTTTCTTCTTCTCTGCTTCTAGTTTTATTACCTCTCGTCCCTTTATATGGAAATACAGCAATGGAATCACATGTGTGAAATGGTACAATCCTGTGCTATGGAGGTTAACAGTGAAACTATTACAGTGAACCAGTGACACTATTACATGAGTGCTATAGAGGTTTATGGAAGAGAACCATGATTTTTTGTAGACACGTCACCCAAGGAATAAGACATCCACTGGTTCCATATTTTAATTAAAAGAATATACAACTTTTAAAAAATTCTTTCTTTTTCAGGGTCTATTTTTTTCATTCTCCTTCTTCCTTCACTATACACTAGCAAAAGACAAACAAATTTGGTTTTCAATATAACTTTAGAAATAAGATGCTTCGGTTTCATAAACAGTCTGGCTCATTATCATCGTTTCATCGACTGGGTCAAACTTAATTTAGATTTTGTTAATAAATCTATGTCTTAGTAGCTCATGTTTCTTGAATAATGAGGTGTTCACAATAAATGAGAAAAAAACAAAAACACCTTTTACATGTAGACCAGACAGATAAAATGATGAAGGAAAACAATGAAAAACAGACTTCAGACTATGAATAACAAATATTTAGGAGCAACAGCTTGTCTTCAAGTTACCAAGGCAATATTGCAATCCTTTCAAAATGCCAATAAAATTCCACTATGTTTATAATTTATTAAAATCATATCACTTGATATGTAATGCAATGTATAGCTACAAATGGAGTTTGTACTATATTAACACAAAATGGAGATTATGGGTATACTTCCAGTGCAACGGAGACTTTTGACTATCATATCATTTTACACCAGATGGTATTTATTTTATTCTAAAGGATATGAACAAGAGAGGTTTTACATATTGCCTGCCCTCAATTAATCAGTTTACATTTCCTCATTTACAGTATGTGAATTAGTATAAAAGAGTTACGCTAACATGTTAGTTTTCTAAAAACAACCTGAACTGCCGTATTTTTACTCACATTTAATTATTTTCAAAAACAAATGCTCCACTATTATATATACAAGAGATTGTCTATAAAACATATTTATTCTGTTCTTTGCTATGGCTTATGTTGTTTGTGATACTTAATGCTTATACTGCTGTCAATAAACATGCCTCACCAATAAACTGATAGGTACATTTCACAGATATTCCAGATTCATACAGTGGAATGTTCTTACAACACATAACACTATGAAATCACTGTATGAATCCAAGAATTCCTACCTCTCTTGTGGTTTGCAACTTGAACGGAAGAAACAGTTGACAAAGCTAATTTGGGAGCAACTGGATAGGTTTAAAAACATGAATAGTAAATTAGAAAGATATCATATAGGAACAAATACAAAAAGCTTGGGAAATGAATTACCGTATATACTTGAACATAAGCCCGTTTGTTTATAAGATGACCCCCCCCAACTTACAGAGAAAAAATGGTAAAATAATCACTGACCCGTTTATAAGCCAACTCCAGAGTAGAGACTTCCAGTTCCAGCTCATCAATATCATCATGGGCTGAGGGACATGCAGACTGCATCACGGAGCCTCTCAGCTCCCATTGGCTGCTCCTTTGCTGTTGCCAGCCAATGGGAGCTATGAGGCTCTATGACTGCGGCCTGCAGGTCCCTTACCCCACACTGCTTCCAGTGGCTCCCACTGGCTAATGGATCCCCGCCCGCTGGTCTTCTATCTTGGCTGCATATAGCTTAGCCTTAAGTATGCCCTGCCTACCTGCCACTATGATGACAGAGGTGGCAGCTAGCTCCTCCTTCAGCCTGTGTTGCTTCCTGCAGCTCAGGAAGAACCCATTCATAAGCCGACCCCCACTCTTCACAGCAGGATTTTTTTTCCAAAAAAAGTCAGCTTATGAAAGAGTATATACGGTACTTTACCCACTACATTTTCAAGTAGCTTTAAAAAATTAAACACAATTGAGTATTTTTAATTATTATGCAAAGAAAGGTTGACACTGAGGAGAAAATGGGTGAAATGGGTGGATCAGTGATTAAGGTATTGGAGATAACGTGAAAGGCTTTAATAACCAGAAGGAGAGACCATTTTAACAGTCATATCTGCATTCTTATTTGGCTTTGGCTTAGATGTTATATCTAGGGAGTTTCTTCCCAGGTTCCTAATTAATGACAATACAATATCCTCATTGTCTGTATAGTTTAGCACATTTATGTACAGATACTCTGTTCTAAATCTAATAAAAAGAAAATCATAATAAATAATGTGCAGGTATAGGCAGCGTTCTGTAATCAAGATGTGAATACTTGACTCAAGGATTCGAATTCTGGTTTAAATTCTCAAACTCTTAATTGTTAAACTCTTAACAATATGCTCCAAACTAGTAATCAAACCAAAAAATATTTGAAATATTTTGTGCTTTGTTTTCTCTTTTAACATGTAAAAGCTAAATTAAATATTTTTTTTGGTGGGAACATTGCATAATGTTCTACTGTTCAAGATGCATTGTGATATTAATTTTTAGATCCTGTGCAGTATAATTTGTTAAACTATGAAACCCTTTAGAAATGCCGAGTGTCATTTTGTTGATGATATTTTGATTGATAAGGCATATGAATAACAAACTAAACTTTGCTGCTAATCCTTTTAGAAATCAGAAGAGCAAAGATCAATTTGTTTTTCTTTGTTAAGGAACACAAGCAGAAACTTGGAAAATATAACATGGAGCAGCTGATTAAGATGATTCTATTTGTTAGTAATCTATGTGTATCTATAGCGGTCTCAGTTTCATCGCCATGGTCAAGGGCTAATACTGCAGTCCATCAGATATAACTCCCCAACAAATTGCTAATGTATTTTGTTGAGCTTAACAGCTATTTCCTGGATCTTCCTTTGGCTCATTTCCTCCTCCTCCATCTGTATTCATTAGAGTTTAAAAAAAAAACATCCTGTGCATAACCATGGCAAGCTGTACACCACAGTTCCGCAATTTTGGGGAGAGAATGTGGGGGAGGCTGGGGTAGAGCAAGGGAATTTCATGTTCAATAATGAACAGAGTTACATCTTATTGTCAAAATTTGTAACATAAAAGGTAGCATGAACACATGTTCAAACTGAAAAGTATTTTACTTTATATTTTATTATTCTTAAAAATCACTCTATACATTTTTGCTATAATCATCATGCCACAATCTGTCACTAGTAACTTTTTGTGTGTCATTGGCATTCAGATGCAGACGTAGTGCACTCGAGATTTCAGAGAGATTGTTGTCAGTGCTAGAGGAAATGCAACTTATGGAGCACAAAGAAGAATAGAAACATCTCTTCTGTGACCTTCCCCACTAAAAAAAATGGAGGAAAACCCAAATTCTGAAAATACTATATATACGATTGTTGAAAGAAATTCCAGGAGACTATGGATCAACTGTCTTCGACTATGCAGCTGAGTTCTGAATACAAATGGGAATAGCATGCTGTTCACTTAAGAAAACAAAGTGAAAGAGGTGTTAAGAAATGGATTTGATGTAGAGAATGAAAATTTCTGGCACTCAGAAATCTTGAAACTTTCTCATAAAATGTGATGTCTATACAATTCCAGGCCTATCCAGGGACTCACTTTAAATTTAATCTATGAAATTGCTTACAACTTTGGTGCCTACTTTTCATATATTTGCAGTAGTGTTTCTAATCTAAAATCTATATATTAGAAGACTTTTTAAAGAAAAATGACATTTGTGCTAATTCTCAATCGTTTGTTTGACAATGCTGTTATTTGGAACCGAGAGAAAAATGAAGTGGAATATTATTATGTTTTGCCAACATGTGGGATTTTATTAAAGCAATTTAAGTAATTTTTGACCACTAGGAATTTTACAGAATCCTACCTTGATTTGGTTTAGAAACCTCAAGGGAAGAAATATTCGGCCATATCCTATCAAACTTTGGTGGATCTGCATGCATCAGGAAAAATCAGGATTTGTTATTTACATACGTGATATTGTTCTAAAGAGACATGTTTATGGACAAAGACATAAATTACAAACATCTGCCACTGGACTTGTCTATGATTCACTTGAACAATACAAGACTCCCACATTGAACAAGAACAAGCAATTGATGATTCCCAAAACACTGAATGGACATTAAATACAGTATATAGCAATTGATCTTTCAAGATTTTTGCTATTATCTTCATAAAATATGTGTGTATATCTATCTATCTATCAATCACAAAGCAGGACCTTTTCTGTTGTTCATGCTATTATTTTAAACGTAGTGTCCAGAGATAAAAACGTCAATATAATATAAAATACAGTAATTTCTTACCATAACATCTCATATTAAGAACTTTAAATCTACAAGTACTTACATAAAGAGAAGCTTCTGCTCTTGGCAAGTTATATTTACTAGAGAAGTGTTTTGTCTAGTGTATTTCTTTCCCACAGCTCCATTAATAACATATATAGTTGGCTTACTTTTAAATAAGGAAATTAATTTTTTCTTTAAAACATCAGGCTTAAGGAAAGATTGCTGAATCTCCTTTCTCTTTTTGGATACACCAGTTCACACATATAGAAAGGGTATGACAGCAGCCAGAGAAAAAGGGAGCACACATGAGTGAAAGGTATCAAAACCCTGTATTTGTAGAGGTAGAAAGCTCACAATAGCACTTCATGAAATAGTGGCTAGAATTGTATGCATCTGTGAGATAGCTTCTGTTTGTTTGTTATAGTACCAACATTTATGGCTGTGATAAAGGACTGTGAAATGCAAGTGGACAAATGACTTTATTTAGTCCTGTGTTTGACTAAGGATTGATTTAAAGGGATTATGAAAATAGCCTCTATCTGATTTTAAAAAGTGAGATATGAATAAAGAGAATAGTATCTCCTAGCTGTTTTACCTGTTGCCTAAATCCTTTTACTCTCCTAGCTTGTGGGTAATAATCCATCAAAAATCTTTGCAGACAGACTAAGATGACATTTAAGATAGGAATTGCTAATAGCTGAATGGCTCTCTTCTTGACAGAAGCTCTCAAGAATATAGAATAGTGAGATGATCATCAGCTGAAATGACCTGTGTGTTACCAGCAGTAACACTAACGCTAATCAGCAGTAAGACTAACAGATGCATGAAGTCTCATTAACACTAGTCTTACAGTTGCTAGTATATATATCCCTACCTCTGTGATTTCCACTGCATGCATCTGAAGAAGTGATTTTTACCCATGAAAGCTTATGCCCAATAAATATGTTAAGTCTTTAAGGTGCACTTGACATGCCTACCTCTCTGAGGCTAATCATACTATGGCAAAGCTTAAAGGAAATCTGCACAACACTTTCAAAAGATGAACCTGGGAGCTTACATTAATAACTTTATTAGATACTAATATCATGCACTGAATAGACACACTGGATTTATGGGTTATTACAACACTTCATACCACTAACAACTCCCCTCCCAGTTGCTTTCCCCCCTTCCCTTCCTCTGTATGACTAAAGGAGTGTTAAAGAGCCACTTTACCTTGAGATATATGTTAACTATTTAACCTAAACAATCTGTTCCACCTTGTTTATAGCTATGACACTCTGAGTACCTATCCTAGACCTGAAGAAGAGCTCTAGGTAAGCTCAAAAGCCTCTCTCTCTCTCTAACAGAAGTTGGGCCAATTAAAGATAATACTTCATCCACCTTGTCTCATTAAAGCTTTGTAACACATGTAAGCCAGTCCTACTGAGTATCTGCCACTGACTGAAATATATGACTTATAATAATCAGAGCAATCGTAATTTGAGACCTATTTTTTCAGTCTCTTGTCTGAATGAGCCTACTAATCACAAGACAAGAGGTATCAACCAATTTACAGTTCTGCAATCTTGCTGATAGCAGTACAGGCTGTTAGCATTGAAGAGCTGAAGCTTATGAAAGCTTGTTTCAGAAAACCTATTTAAGCTATGAACCCTATATAGGGCATGAACCAGCATAGAAAATATAATTCTAATGACCTTTCAAATTAATTTACAGTATGATGAGTTTGCTAAGGGGATGCACTGGAAAGTAATAAATGTAATAAAAGTAATAACTGGCTGAATTAATTTTGAACATGTTTGTGCTGGAGTTTACGTAGAAAACAGGCAGATACAACTGAAGTGTACAGGTAAATATAGATCATCTGCATCCTTGAGATATTTAATAATGTAGGTAAGGCACTGGCTGGTTTAGTTTCCCTACTTTGAATTTTTTTCTTCTCTACTCCATAATGAGTAAGTTAATTTTGTTACCTCCCTGTCAATTGAAAATCTTGGTTGTGACAAGTTACACCAATTTCTCAAGAAGAGCTTTTATTCTTATCTTTGAACCCCAATGATTTATTTTCTGGATGCTGTGTGAAACTTCCATATGAAACTCATATCACAAAGGATATAAACTGTCCTCCTTATTATCTGGTACAGACCCTTAACATTCTTCCGTGGATTAAAGCTGCGGTGTCCAACCATTTCTGAAGTAGTAGCCACTATAGTTGCTACTGCTATAGCAAACTAGCCACACTCAACCAACCAAATAGCCACAAGTGGCTAGCGTGTTGGACATCACGGGATTAAAGGTTTGATTTGACTCTGTTCGGCTGTATTTGGTCATTATTCTATAATATGAATGTTATATTAATTTATGTTGACCAGAATATATTCCAGTATAGCTCTCCATGTGAGCACATTATATCTGGAATACAAATCACATTATTGCAAAAGAATTACTCTGTGTTTGAATAATTTATCCAGAAAACAGTGAATTTTATTTCAGAAAAGTCCATTGTGTTCACTGTACAATAGCTGTCCCTTTGTCAGTATTCCTGACAAATTCTAACATGGAATGGTTCTGAAAAAACAAGAGGAACAAAGTTTAGCTGAAAAAGACAGCTTTGGAATTGTGATCTCAGAAAGTACATTTTAAATATATCTTTTAAAAAGTAGGTTCTGTAGACACCTTTTAGTGTAGCTTAGCAGACCATCTATTTCAAGATACCATCTACATGTTTTGTTAGTCTATAAAGTGCTACCAGATCATTTGTTGGTTTTTAAGTTTATCCTGTACAGACTAAGTTGGCTACCCCCTGAAGCTTGAAAAAAAAAAGGTATTGCTGGATAATATTATCCCAAATCCATTTAGGTATGGACAGTGCATTCATGGAACATCTTGTTCAGTAAGGCTATGTCTAGACAACGTAGCATTTTCAAAAGCGGATATGCAAATTCCCATGGAATTTGCATATCTTCCTCCGATCTCACTTTTGAAGAGGATCTTTTGAAAGTGAAAATAGTCTGGATGTGGTTTTTTGGAAAAAGGGGTTTTTTCCCGATCCCCTGCCCATCACATCCAGACTACTTTCATTTTCAAAAGATCCTCTTTCAAAAGTGAGATTGGACAAAGATTGGTTTTCGAAAAAAACCCTGTAGCTTAGACATGAAAAAATTATTTCATGATTCTTAACAAATGTATAATCACTGCTACAGCTACACTGCACCTCTCTTGCGCAAAAGCCTATGCAAATGAAGCATAGATTAGCATATTGCCAGACTTCATTTCCATAATTAATTAGGGGCTGTTTTTGTGCAAGAGGCTTTTGCGCAAAAAGGAGCTGTGTAGACGACTCCTTTTTGCACAAAACCCTCTCCCTTGCGCAAGAGCCGTTCTTCCTCATTTTTTCAAAAATGCCCCCAATTAATTATGCAAATGAAGCACAGCAATATGCTAATCTATGCTTCATTTGCATAGGCTTTTGCGCAAGAGATGTGCAGTGTAGACGTAGCCTTAGACTCATAAACTTTAAGGATAATAGGAACTTCCTCAATTGCTTTTCTTTTCATTGGATTCTTTTATAACAATGTTAGAACAACTTTTAGTGCTAAAGGAATGGAGGAAATATCTATCAAATGGGCATTGGAAATCAATATTTGGACAAAATGGCACAGTATGGTCTTACTTTGGGATGTTTATGTGAAATGAGTTGGTTGTTTCAGCCCAATTCCAAGGGGATGGACCGTAACACAAAAACCACTGCCATGGTCAGCAGAAATTCAGTATGATCTTTTTTGGCTGTTTTAAAAGGCCAGCTGCTGAGCTGACATGGGATTAAACTGTGCTCTCAGTGCAAGGTGCTGTCTTTCCAGAGCAATGTTGCAAGTGTGTTCAAGTGGTGTGCTCCACATTCTGTGAATGTTCCTTTGTGTTGTGGAGACTGTGCTTTATGCTCTGAGCATGTTCTTTGCTTCACCAGAGTATTTCTGTGTCCTACACAGAGGTGAAAGTAAGGTGGTGAGCCCTGATGTGCCACTCTGGAAAGAGCCAGTTGTTCTCTGGCAAGAGCCAGCCTAGGTTGTGCTCTTTAAAAAGCTAGCCGGCATAGGTGACACATGGGGAGGTGAGGAATATCATGTGCACTCCCCGACACTGTGAGGAGGAGGTGAGTGGGCGAGGGTTCAGTAGCCAGAGGCCAGGGGCTGTCTGAGCTAGATATGGGAGATGCTGTGTTGCCGCTGCTTCCTCCCACCACTGCCAGGCAATTGGATTGTGATGGAGAGCACTATGGGGGACAGAGGGAGACTGCCACTTGGGTGGGTGTGGAAAGGGGACAGCTGCTGGGGAGGCAAGAAAGGCTGCTGTGGGGGAGGGTGCTTAGCACGGTAGTGCATATGTGGAGAGGAGAAGGGGCGAACAGTTAGCAGCCAGAGGCCAGGCTGTTTGGCTGCTTGCAGTCTCTTTGGCAGCCTCTGCTCATGCCGTCTGAGGCTGGGAAGGTTTGGTGACAAAAGTGCTGTCAACATGCAAAAGTGAACACCAGACAAACTGTTTTTTCTGCTTCCCACTCTCAACGTTTCAATGCCACTTTGCTAGCTCCCCTGCTGACAGAGCAAAGCGATGTGAGTAAGAATCCCACAGTGCAGTGTTGTGG